TTGGCTGGTTGGGCAAAGACAAAACAGGTTCTGTTTTTAGGACCTGAACCTGGTTGTTGTTTCCCCAGGTTGGAAAAACAGAACCAGAGGTTGTTCACCAACCTATCACCTGCTATTTTGTCCAGCCAGGTTGGTTCTGTTGCTTGGAATTATTTGGGATCATCCCTGGTTGTTCCCAGGTTGATTCCCAAGGTCCTTGCTAGCTAGAGCTATTTATTCCTTCTCTGTTTGTACCTGAAGATAGTAAAATTGATTCAAGCGAATTCCTTCCTTGCTGGAATTTCTACGCGGTGCGACGGCGGAATGCTACCCGAGTCAACGCTAGTACGCTAGCACTCCAACGCTAGGCTAACGCTGTCCGAGCCATAACTTCGTAATGGCAGAACTTTTCGCGAGGCAACTTGGCTTATTTTAAAGCTCTTAGAGTGAGCTTCGATATAGGAAATTCTCAGCTTAATCCGATCGACGGTCTGCACGATACGCTGCGCGACGTTCAAGGTACTCTTGCTGTTTTGACTAAGTCCCTCTTGATCCCTCTCTCTACAAACTCGGACCCGAGGATAGGGGCTGGTCTTGCACCAGGCACCCAAGGACCCTTGGAGGTGACCCCGAGGAGAGGTTTTAAGTGTGATAAAGTCTTAATAGCTTGAGTTTATTAGGCCCTTACACCACCACTTCTAGTGTTGAGGTACCGTCAGCTGAGGCCCTGCTGGTGGAGGTACTGCTGACAGTGGTTCTGCTGGAGGTGCTGCTGGTGCTACTGGAGGTCCTGGAGGTACTGCTGGTACTGCTGGAGGTCCTGGAGCTGTTGGAGGTACTGCCGGTGCTGGTGGAGGCCCTGGAGCTGTTGGAGGTGCTGCTGGTGCTCGTTCGGCTCGAGGTTCTGGTGCTGTCTCTGCTGCTTCTGGGGGCGCTTCACGGCCACGGCGGTACTTCGTTCCGCTCCTTCAGCAGGTTCTTGGTCAGCCGCCTCCTTCTAGTGTTCCTTCCTCCTTAGAGTGTCCTCCGCCTATCCAGTCGCAGTCCCAGCTCCCCCCTGCCTCGCCACTTCCTGGTCCTTCTCCCTACACTGGTCCGACAGGCGGTCTTACAGAGCGTCGTGAGCCTGAGTCTCGTCCTGTGTCGCCTGTGTCGCATCCTGTGTCACCTACTCGTGCTACTCACACTGGTTGTCATGGTCAGCGTGAGCGTCCCCCACCTGTGCCTGGCACACACTTTATGACTCTGCGTCCTTCCACTGCTCCATAGCGTGTCCCTCTGCCGTCTCCTCCTGAGTCCTCTCTTCCTGTCCTTGCTGACCCTGAGTCTAACTCCTTCGTGCTGCCAGTCCTACTATCATGCGTCTCCTGGCCACTGCTGTCACGGACCCTTCCTTTGAGTCTGCTGCTGCGTCTACCCTAGTTGCTGAGCTTGTCGACTTTGCTGCTCACTATCGTCTAGACTACGCTGCCAGTCTTGTTACTGAGTCTGAGTCTGTCTCTCATCCGTCCGTCGGGGGTGAGTGTGCTCTAGGCACATACGTCCTTGAGGACAGACAGGAGGACCTTGAGTGTCTTGCAGCGGCTGCGCCTCATCTCGTGTCCATGCTGATTGCCCCTGAGGGAGACCCGGATGCTCCAGACATCCCGACCCTGCGCTCTTACGCTGAGGCGATCGGGGGTGAGTACTCCTCTCAGTGACAATCAGCCATGGATGCAGAGATGGCATCCTGGAAGTCTACTAGCACCTACGTCGACGAGGTTCCTGTTTCTGGTCTATGTGGACGACATTCTTCTTTTTAGCAGCAGCATGAAGGAGATCCAGAAGGTGCAGCAGCAGCTGATGGAGAACTTCAAGTGCAAGAACCTTAGGGAGGTAAAGTACTATCTCGGGATGCACGTGGAGAGGGATCTGGATCACAGGTGGTTGAAGCTGCACCAGGAGAAGTTCATCAAGGAGCTTGGGGAGAAGTACGGAATTGAGAATGAGCGCAAGGTTGCAACTCCCCTGCCAGCAGAATTCAAGCTTGTGAAAGCTGCAGAGGATGAAGGGGTTGAAGCCGAGGAGCAGCAGCAATTTCAGTCCTTGGTGGGCAGCCTCTTGTATGCAGCAGTTCACACGAGGCCCGACATCTCTTTCTCGGTTGGGCAGCTGGCTAGGGTGGTGCAGAATCCATCAGAGGAGCAGGTGGATGCAGCTGAGCGTGTGGTGAAGTATCTGAACTCTCACCCAAGCATTGGAGTTCAATACTCCGCATCTGCACAGGTGAAGCAGAAAGGGGTTGAGGTGCTGAAAGAGAAGGGGGAGAGGCTTGGAGAAGGCAAGCTCTTTCTCACTTGCTTTACCGATGCTACGTGGGCCTCTGAGAAGGAGGATTCCTCATCAATGGGAGGATACATCTGCGTAGTTGGAGGAGGATCTGTTAGTTGGAGGTCAAAGAAGCAAACGGAGACAGCACTCTCTTCTGTGGAATCAGAGTACATGGCGATGTTCCATGGGGTGAAGGAGGTGATTTGGCTGAGGAAGCTGTTAGAGGAGATTGGCAAGGAGCAAAAGGTTGCTACGCCGCTGTTTTGTGATAGCAAGGGAGCTCTTGGGATGGCCAGGAACGCTGTGCTTCATGGGCTGAACAAGGACATGCGTATGAAGTGGCACTGGTTGCGTAAAGAGGTGAAGAGGGGGACGGTGAATCCGATCTACATCAAGACTCACCAGCAGCCAGCAGACTTCCTCACCAAGAGGCTTGCAGATGAGCCTCATTGGCGTTGTGTGCGCATGAGTGGAATGAGCATAAACTAGTATGGAATGATGGGGATGCAGCCGGCAGGCTCAGGGGGAGTGTGTTGGGTGCAAATTCACATTGCACGACATCCTGCCGTCTGTTTGTACGAGTATGCGTGTGCGAATGCATTTGGGTATGAATGGAATGTTCGTGTGTTTGTTTGCTTTCGCAATTTTCGCTTGAAGCATTTGCAGGTACTCGCGCATTGTGCGCTTCGGCATAACATTGTACGCGCTATGAACAGTACAAGCAGAAAGGACGAGCTTGCAAAGGAACCCAAGATGGAAGCTTTGCGGTTCGGCTTACTTGATTGCGCAGATTCAGTTCTACCAACTCGAAATTGTACTGTTTTGTTTGGTTGACTATAGTGTAGCAGGGCAGGCACTATAGGGGTACAATCTAGGCGAAGGTTGTTTGTCTGTATCTGCATGCTACAGGGCCAGGGGAAACCAGCGGAACCAGCATTTGGCTGGTTGGGCAAAGACAAAACAGGTTCTGTTTTTAGGACCTGAACCTGGTTGTTGCTTTCCCAGGTTGGAAAAACAGAACCAGAGGTTGTTCACCAACCTACCACCTGCTATTTTGTTCAGCCAGGTTGGTTCTGTTGCTTGGAGTTATTTGGGATCATCCCTGGTTGTTCCCAGGGTGATTCCCAAGGTCCTTGCTAGCTAGAGCTATTTATTCCTTCTCTGTTTGTACCTGAATATAGTGAAATTGATTCAAGCGAATTCCTCCCTTCCTGGAATTTCGTTTCTACGCGGTGCGACGGCGGAATGCTATCCGATTCAACGCTAGTACGCTAGCACTCCAATGCTAGGCTAACGCTGTCCGAGCCATAACTTCGTAATGGCAGAACTTTTCGCGAGGCAACTTGGCTTATTTTAAAGCTCTTAGAGTGAGCTTCGATATAGGAAATTCTCAGCTTAATTTGATCGACGCTCTGCACGATACGTTGCGCGACGTTCAAGGTACTCTTGCTGTTTTGACTAAGTCCCTCTTGATCCCTCTCTCTACAAACTCGGACCCGAGGATAGGGGCTGGTCTTGTACCAGGCACCCAAGGACCCTTGGAGGTGACCCCGAGGAGAGGTTTTAAGTTTGATAAAGTCTTAATAGCTTGAGTTTATTAGGCCCTTACACCAACAAGCTAGTATCAGAGCTGCGTTATAGTGATCCTCGTTATAGGTAGCTATGGCGGGCAACACCTCGGCGGTAGTTGGTGATTCTTCAGCTCAAGATCGTAGCGGCAGCCAAGATTCTGGTGTTTCTGCGCCAAGGGGAGTGCGAACAAGCCAGGGCTCACTGATCAAGGAGGTGCTGAAAAACTTCACCGTCGAGAAGTTCAATGGTGAGGGCTATGATGATTAGGCCTGGAAAATGCAACTTTATTTCCGTCAGATCGGATTGCTGAAACTAATGATTGGGGAGGAGCCTAGACCGAGTGACCCCGTCCTTCAGGAAGATTGGGACGAGCGCGCCTCGGCTGGCTACTACTTGATGTCGCAGAGTTTGGAGCTGAACCAGCGTCACCACGTCATGCACCTACTGCCGGGGGTTGAGTGCGGTCCGAAAGCGTGGACGGTGTTGAAGGAGCTGCACGCCCCGACCTCCGTTGTTGCAACATTGATGCTGGAGAGGGAGCTGTCCGCGTTGCGCCTGAGCGAGGGAGAGCCGGTACAACCTGTCCTGGACAAATTGCGCAACCTCTACGCGAAGTTGGCGACCGCGGGAATCACCTACCCGGAGCAGACCAAGTGCCTGAAGATGCTCTTGCATCTGCCGGAATCGTGGCTTCGATTCACGAGCGGATTGAGCCTGCCGCAGAATTAGAGCTCGACGACACTCGAGTGGGTGCGGACAAAGATTCTAGAGGAGGACTTCCGTCGCCGTCAACTGACGGGTGGAGACGACTGAGGAAAGTAGAACGAGAATGGAATGACTAAGGAATGGAAGTGATACAAATATGCAACCCTAGAAATGTGTATCCCATATAGGCTACCCCACTATAGCCTACACAATATTATAATTTGACACACCCCCATAGGCAAAGTGGGGGAGAACAAGGGGTCACAAGACCAGTCAAGCAAAGCAGACAAAGCTCAGGGTGGATCACAACGTCACCACACAGTCCGAGCACAAGGTCAAGGCCACAAGGCCAGTTCACATGCAGGAGTACACATATATATATTAGGCTAAACAAACAAGAGCAGGTATATATATATGTAAGAGTACAAGCAAGGTCAAGGGGTGAGCAAGTGAGGCAAGATAGGCACAAAACCCAGCTGAGTGCAGAAGCGCTGATGATCACAAGGCGGAAGTGCCTTGGTGAAAACATCAGCAGTGTTGGCCTCAGAGGCCACGTACGCAAGTCGCAACTGACCACGCTGTTGCAACTCACGAGCAAGAAAGTAGCGGAATGCAATGTGCTTCGTTCTGTGCTCCAGGCGCTGCTCCCGACACAAGGCCAGCATGGCCTTCTTGTCTACGTACAGCACTGGAGGAGAACGAGGGGGCTCTCCTAGGTTAGTCAGCAGGTAGGTGAGCCAGCGAAGCTCCTGTGCAGCCATGGACCCGGCGTAGATCTCAGCCTCACAACTGGAGCCGAGAACAGAAGCCGAGCGAGTAGCCGGCCACGAGACAGAGCCGGAACCAAGACTGAAGGTGTAACCCTGTGACGACCGCTGCGTAGCCTGGTCGTCAGCCCAAGAAGCGTCCGCGTGCCCAGTGAGGACCACTGAACTCCGCCCTCCAAGCACTAGCCCCATGCCCCACGTACTGCACAAGTAGCGCAACACCCTCTTCGCTGCAGCCATGTGCTCTGGTTGGTGTCTCCCAGGAGCAACATAGCGTGCAAGAATGCTAAGAGGGTATGAAAGGTCAGGTCGTGTGCAGGTCATCAGGTACATGAGGCAGCCAACAAGCTCTGGGTATGGGCCACTCGACTCTACGAACTCATCCGAAGGCAGAGCTGAGAGCGAGTGGCGAGTAGACAGAGGAGTGGCCTGAGGCGAGGAGTACGTGAAGCCGAAGCGCTGAAGGACCTGCTGCACCATGTGTGACTGAGTCAAGGTAATGGTGCGGCGTGCTCTGTCCTGGGTGATCTGCAAGCCAAGGTAGCTGCGCAGTTCACCCAGGTCTGTGCACGTGTGTCTCTTTTGCAGCTCCGACTTCACGTGGGCGAGTCCAGCAGTGTCAGCTGTGGCAAAGACCAAGTCGTCGACGTACACGAGGATGTAGAACGGCGGCAGAGAGGTGTCGGTGCGTAGAAACAACGACGGGTCAGCAGTAGAGGGAGCAAACCCAAGAGCCGCAAGCGTAGTCCTCAGTGTGTCGTGCCACTCGCGTGGTGCCTGGCGGAGACCGTAGACTGGCCGTCGGAGGCTCCACTGGGTGCCAGGAGGGAAAGTCCCAGTGAAGCCAGGGGGACGGCGCAACCAGATCTCCTTGTGCAGGCTACCCTGCAGGAAAGCAGTGCTGAAGTCAAGGGAGTGAAGCTCGTAGTCACGCTGAGCGGCTATGTGTAGCAGCACCCAAAGAGTGGTCATCTTCGGGGTGGGAGAGAAGGTCTGAAAGTAGTCAACTCCCTGCCGCTGACTGAAGCCACGAGCCACGTACCGCGCCTTGAAGACAGGTGGAGAGCCCGGCGGCCGCTTCACCCTGAAGATCCACATGCCACTGACGATGTTCGCCTCAGGAGGAGGAACCGCGTCAACGTAGGTGCCTGTGGACTTCCACAAGGCCATCTCTGCATCCATAGCTGCCTGCCACTGAGAGGAGTAGGGACCCTCTACGGCCTCCGCGTAAGAGCGCGGAGTCAGGATGTCTAGTGCTTCCGGGTCTCCCTCAGGGGTAAGCAGAACGGACGCGAGATGAGGTGAAGCAGCAGCCAGACACTGGAACACCTCCTGCCTGTCCTCAAGGACGTCCGTGCCAAGAGCACACTCACCCCCGACGGACGGAGGGCAGACAGACGCGGACTCAGCAACAAGACTAGCAGCGTAGTCTAGACGACAGCGAGCAGCAAAGTCGACAAGCTCAGCAAAAAAAGCAGACGCAGCAGTGGACTCAAAAGAGGGGTCAGTGACGACAGTAGCAAGGAGACGCGTGACGGTAGGACTGGCAGCACGAAGAGAGTAGGACTTCGGGTCGGCAAGGGCAGGAAGAGAGGACTCAGGAGGAGAAGGCAAAGGGGCACGCAGAGGAGCAGTGGACGGACGCAGAGACATCCGGTGCGTGCCAGGGACAGGAGGAGGACGCTGACGCGAACCGCGACCACTAGCGCGAGCAGCACGAACAGGCGACGCGTGACGAGACGCATGCTTACGACGCTCAGCAAGACCTCCAGTAGGACCAGTGTAAGGAGAGGGAGCAGGCAGTGGGGAGGCGGGCGGTAACTGTGACTGTGACTGGACAGGCTGTGGACACTCTAAGTGAGGAGGAGGACCAGTAGAAGGCGGGAGACTAAGAACCTGCTGAAGGAGCGGAACGAAGTATGGCCGAGGCCGCGCGGCGACTCCAGACACAGCAGGGACAGCACCAGCACCCTCAGCGGCAGCACCAGCGCCAACAGCACCTCCAGCTGCAGGACCTCCAGCAGTACCTGCAGCACCCGAAGTAGGACCACCGCCAGGACTGACAGCAGTAGCCTCAGCGCCAGCACCCTCAGCAGCTCCAGCTCCAGTCGTACCCGCAGGCCCAGCAGCTCCAGCACTCCCAGGACGAGCACCTCCGGGACCGGCGGCACTAGCACCCTTAGTGGCCGAAGAAGCTCCAGCTCCAGCAGTACGCCTCCAGCGCCGGGCAAACCACTCGCGCACCTCCTGTGGAGAGAGTGGTTCCCGCCGAGACGAAGCACCCGGAGAACCTCAAGGCCCAGCACCGCCAGACGCCACACGAGCAGGTCCAGCGGCCGCTGGCTCCGCACCACCAGGCTCAGTAGCTCCAGACGCAGCACCCCCAGGCTCAGCAGCTCCTGACGTAGCACCCTTAGGCTCAGCACCCCCAGTCGTAGCACCCCCGGGCTCAGCACCCCCAGTCGCAGCACCCCCAGACTCAGCACCCCCAGGCTCAGCACACACGCGCGCAGCACTCCCAGAGTCAGCACCCCGAGGCTCAGCACCCGCAGCACTACCAGAGTCACCAGCAACCTCGACCGGCTCGACTGCGTCTACCTGGGACACACCTGAAGGGGCAGGACCCTGAGGGGGGAGGGGGTCTACCGGGGGGGGACCTGGCACAAGGAAGTGCGGTGGCGGGGGGAGGGAAGGAGTGCGGTAGGGGAAGAGGCGGTAGTAGGGGACTGACTCGTCGAACGTGACGTCCTGGGAGGACAGAACACGACGAGAGGTGGGGTGGTAGAACTGCCACCCAGGGGCGTCAGGGGGGAAGCCAAGGAAGACACAGGGAGCAGCACGAGGGGACAGCTTGTCCGCAGACAAGTCGCGGACAAACGCCCGAGATCCCCAGACACGGAACGCAGACGCATCGCCGACCTTCCCCGTCCACAGCAAGGCTGGGGAGGTCTCCGGCCTGGAGACCCTGGGGTGAAGGTTGATCTGATGCGCCGCGTACCGAACCGCAAACGACCACAGAAAATGGGGGGCAGCCGCATGCATCATGGACGTACGAGCCACGTCCATGACCATGCCAATGCGGCGCTCAGCAATCCTATTTTCCTGTGGAGAGTCCGGAAGCGTAAAGGTCTGGCGGATGCCTCGCGCACGACAGTAGGCTCGCAGAAGGCCAGAGGAGAACTCTCCGCCTCGGTCAGAGTGCAGACGCAGAACAGGAAAGTCCGAGCCGAAGCTCCTCCTGAGCTGAAGACGAGCCGCGCGGATCCAGTTGATCAACACCTCAGTGACATCACCCTTGCTGCGCAAGGGGAAGACTGTGGTGTAACGCGAGTAGTCGTCAACCACCAGCAGGAAGTAGCGCTCGTGACCCTGTCCACGGACGCGGGCTGGGCCCCACACGTCCATGTGAAGCGTCTGCAGCGGGGCCTCTGTCGGGGGAAACTGAGAGGAGTGAGCGGCAGCCCGGAGCCGCCCCTCGACATAGGGGACACAGGAAGGACCAGGCCCCGGAGGAAGGGGAGGGAGGGACCTAGGAAGACCAGAGACAAGGACACGGGAAGCCATGCCTCGGAGACGAGGCAGGGAGGGGTGACCAAGACGGTGGTGCCACAGGAGAGTCTCGTGAGACAGGAGGCGACACGAGCAGGGGGCAGATTCAGGACCAGACCTGGACGCTGCAGCAAACACCTGACCCGACGCAGCTACATGGCCAAAAGCAGGGACAGGAGGGGACCCAGTGGTCAGGGTGTAGAGGCTCGACCCCGGCCGACGCGTAAAGGTGGCCAGGTGCCGGCCCGTGCAAGCGTCCGAGCAGTGGGTCACCCGCTGACTCGCAGGAGTAAACTGGTGAACCCCCGTATCCTGCAGGTCAGCACCACTCACCAAGTTCGTAGAGAACGAGGGGAGGTAAAGACCAGACAAGGTACTTGAGGGCGCAGCCGGACACGGGAGGACAGTGGAGAAGTGAGAGAGGACAGGACCCCCAGAGGGGTCTGCCTGGGAGACTGCAACCGGCCGACCAAGCGGCGTGAGTGTGGTGCGGTCTCGAAAGAAGGAGCGATAAGCCCATGAGTCAAGTGTGAAGGTGAGGGAGGCCGAAGCCGACGTGGTACCTAAGAGCACAGACTCTCCAGCACCTGAGGGCGCAGACGCACTTGCTCCTAGAGCAGCAGCCTCACCAGCACCTAGAGCAGCAGTACCAATGCCCGGGTCGGGCGGGAAACACCGGTAACATTCACCTTCATCACTAATAGTCACAGCATACATGGCAGCAAGGATAGCATCAAAGTCAAGATCATAGATAGCTACGCCTGCCCTAGACAGCTCTCCCGAGCGGGGGATCTCACCAGCCTCCGGGAACTGCTTACGCCAAGCGTCCGTCAGGCGGCCAAAGCAGCGCTGGGTGGGGTGGACACTCCCACACTGCTCACCCGCGCGGTCGCCGGAGCGGAGGACGTAGGTGTACGGGCCAAAACCCCCACCACGCTGACGCTGCGTGTACCACTCACGGAGCTGCTGAGGAGGGGGGATGTCCCGAGAACGCTGCTGCTGCTGCTGCTGGCGCTGACCACCCCCGGAGCTGCTCCGCTGCGAAGCACCACCCCGACCAGCTCCACCTCCTCCACCACCGCCGCCTCCACCTCCGCCACCACCGCCGCCTCCACTCCCACCGCTATCGCCGCCGCCGCCTCCGCCTCCGCTGCTGCCACCGCCACCTCCACCCCCGCCACCACTCCCACCGCCACCCCCACTCCCTCCGTCGCCTCCACCGCCACCTCCACCACCCCCGCTAGCTCCACCCGGGCCCTTGCCCCCCTTGCCCTTGCCAGAGCGGCGTCTCCCGCTAGGGGCAGACGCCGCACCGACCGACTCAAGACCAACGAGGTCGGCCGCAGCAGCGGAGGCGACATAGGGCAACAGGGGGGAAGGGGAACACCCCTCAAAGATGGGGGTGCGAGGGTCACCACGAGAGGCTCCTACAGCGACTATGCTCTTCTCCGCTGCTAGGAGGGCCTTCTCTAGGAGGTCAACAATGAGAGTGGTGGGACAGACTGAGAGGAAGTGGTCCCTGACTACGCGAAGGGAGTTAGGGAGGCGGGTGACTATATAATAGAGAGTGATGTACATGGGGGGGGGGTTCTTGGCGCAGAACTCAGTAGGAAGCGCGGCGCGGTAGCGAGTGTCACTAGTACGGAGGTGCGTAATGAGGTCAGCGACTGTGGGAAAGGCAGCAAGGTCAGGAAAGAGGTACGGTAGCATGAGGCGGCTCAGTGCAGCAGTGGCAGGGGAAGAGTAGCGTGCAACTACAGCGTCGTACAAGGTCTGAGAACTCTTGTACTGACTAAAGTGCGCGCGCTCAGTGGTAGGCAGGTGGCGATGCACAGCAAGACGTGCAGCAGCATCGCGAGTGGCCCACTGGGAGCGAACAGTGGCGTCGGCATCGGCAGCAGGGGCAGGGGAAGCACCAGAGGTGTGGTCAAAGAGGGAGAGACCGTCTGCCCTATCGCACTATAGGAAAAGCTGCAGGTCATCTACCCAAACCTCAAAGTCAATGGCTCGACCCTTAGTGTCAAAAGCAAGAACACTGGGGGTAGCCATGACAGCAGTAGACTAGCAGTACCAACTGTAGGACAGGGGCAGTGCAGTGTCAGAAGCGCTGCTCTCACCAGGCAGGGCAGGTCCGGCAGCTCAGCAGTACAGCAGCACGGCAACATGGCTGCTCGGACGGCACAGCAGCAACTGCGGCTCCGTGGCAGCAGCGGCTCGGCTCCTCAGGCGGCTCGGGCGGCTCAGGTGGCTCGGGTGGCTCGGGCGGCTCGGGCGGCTCGGGTGGCTCGGGCTGGTCGGGCGGCTCGGGCGGCTCGGGAGAGTCGGGCAGCTCGAGCGGCTCGGGCAAGTCGGGCGGCTCGGGCGGCTCGGGCAGTTTGGGCGGCTCAGGCGGCGCGGGCGGTGTAGGGCGGTAGGGCCGCTGGTGAAGGGGCGGCAGGGCCGCTGGGAAGGGCGGCGGGGCCGCTAAGTAGGGCGGCGGGGCCGCTGAGAAGGGCGGAGGGGCCGCAGTAGAAGGGCGGCGGGGCCTCTGAGTAGGGCGGCGGGGCCGCAGCGAGAGAGGCGGTGGGGCCGCAGTGAAGGGCGGCGGGGCCGCTGCGTAGGGCGGCGGGGCCACAGTGAGAGAGGCGGCGGGGCCGCAGTCCAGGGCGGCGGGGGCGCTGAGTAGGGCGGCGGGCCGCAGTGAGAGAGGCGGCGGGGCCGCAGTGAAGGGCGGCGGGGCCGCTAAGACGGGCTGCAGGGCCGCTGAGATGGGCGGCGGGGCCGCTGAGACGGGCGGCGGGGCCGCTGAGACGGGCGGCGGGGCCGCAGCGAAGGGCGGCGGGGCCGCAACGTGAGGCAGCGGGGCCGCAGCGAAGGGCGGCGAGGGCGCGAAGAAGGGCGGCGGGGCCGCTGAGACGGGCGGCGGGGCCGCAGCGAACGGCGGCGGGGCCGCGACGAGGGGCAGCGCGGCCGTAGCGAAGGGCGGCAGGGCCGCGAAGAAGGGCGGCGGGGCCGCAAAGTGGGGCGGCAGGGCCGCAGCTAAGGGCGGCGGGGCCGCTGAGAAGGGCGGCGGGGCCGCTGAGAAGGGCAGCGGGGCCGCTGAGAAGGGCGTCTTGAAGAGGTGAGAGCCCGGAGCGCGACTCGGGCTGCGCGCGCTTCGGGCAGGAGAAAAAACGATCGATGTGGTGGGCCCTAGGCACAGTTCCCACGAGGGAACCTGCTCGATACCATGAGGAAAGAAGAACGAGAATGGAATGACTAAAGAATGGAAGTGATACAAATATGCAACCCTAGAAATGTGTACCCCATATAGGCTACCCCACTATAGCCTACACAATACTATAATTTGACAACGACGGCAGCAGCGGCTACGGGATGCAAGGGAGCCGACGTGGCAAAGGACGTGGCTACGGTGGTGCTGGACGCGGTGCGAAGAAAGACGACGACTCCAACGACCAACAAGGAGGTACCGGTTGGGGTAACGGTGCGAGATCTGGACGTGGGGGCAAGTCGGGTGCTGGTGGCAAAATGAAAGAGAGTTGCTGGTATTGTGAGAAAGAAGGGCACCCCTGGTTTTTGTGCTATAAGAAACCCGATGGATGGACCCCCCAGAATCGTCACCAGGATGGCGGCGCGCGAAGGAACCAGAAAAACGGCGCCAACATGGTCGCTGATTCGTCCGACAACAACGGCGGTGCGGAGAAGAAGGAGCGCACCGCGGGCCAATTCTTCCATATGGGAGACAAGGGGGAGCAAGGAGACGCCTCTGCCAAGGTTGGAGCAGAGCTGCACCCCCTGGATTATTGGGTGTTGGACACGGGCGCTGCTTGGACGATGACGCCGCGAAAAGACCTACTGGACCACGTACAAGCTGCACCGATCAACGAGGTGTGCTCCGCCTCTGGACAGGCGCTAAAGGTGGCTGGTGCGGGACGAGCTGCGTTTAAGGGAGCGGATGGCAAGCCGGTGGTGCTGCACAACGTTCTCGTTCTCCAACCTCATCTCCCTCCGTAAGCTTGGCAAGGCTGGGGTGAGCACTAGCACGGATGGGGCACGCACTTACAAGGGGCAGCTGGGCAATCGGGTGCTTTGGGATCTGCACGAGAGTACGGACGTGTACAGATCCATGTGGCAGCTGCCGGCGTTGGCGTGGCATGATGGGGGGCAGGCTGGAGAGGGGTCTGCATCCCAGGGGGAGTGCAACGCCGTTGGAGGGGTTGGTGTGAAAGTGTCGGCCAGATCTGGGGAGACGGATTGGGCAACTGCACGCCGACGTTTGGGGCATGTGGCAATGCCTTTGCTGAAGCAGCTGGAGAAGGATGGAGCCGTTAAGGGCTCGAAGCTGAATGGAGAACCACCCGATGATAACTGTGAAATTTGCCTCCTTTCAAAGTTCACCCGTTTCCCCTTCCATAGTGTGGCTGGCAGGAGCAAAAAGCCGTTGGAGCTGCTCCACATGGACTTGGTGGGGCCGCTGCCGGTGCAAGGGCACAATGGGGAGCGGTACTTCCTAACCATAGTGGATGACTGGAGCAGGCTAATGTGGGCGTATCCACTGAAGCAGAAAGATTACGCCGCCTCTACGATTCGGGACGATTGGCTGCCGTTAGTGGAGAAGCAAGCGGAGTGTGTGGTGAAGCGGATTAGGACAGATCGGGGTGGTGAGTTCCTTGGAGCTGAGATGACGGCCTGGTTCAAGAAGCAGGGCATCCAGAGGGAGCTGACCACGGCTTACACCCCACAGTCCAACGGTGTAGCAGAACGGGCGATCCGGACAATTCTGGAGACAGCTAGGGCGCTGCTCATAGAATCTGGGCTGGGCAACTTGATGTGGCCCCATGCTGTTCGGCACGCTACCGTCGCTAGGAACAGGGTACTCACAAAGGTTGGGGATGACTCGTGGGTGCCGTTGGAGAGGTGGCTTGGGAGGAAGCCGCCGGTGGACATGCTGAGGGTGTTCGGTTGCATGGATGTCGCCCACGTCCCCAAGACCTACCGCAGTAAGTTGGGGGCGAGTGCAATCTGGTGTGTGCATTTGGGGCTGGCTGCAGAGAGCAAGGGATGGCTGCTGTGGGAACCTTCCAAAGGTGTGTTGTTTGATAGCAGGGATGTGAAGTTTGTTGAGGGCATGATGTATGGGAGCTGGGAGAAACTGCCGGAGGCCAGGGTGTCCTAGCAAATGGAGCAGATCACCATGCAGCTGGACCTGACTCCTAGTGTGTGGGAGGAGGGAGAGGAGGCAGCTGCAGGGGGTGGTGATAAAGAGAAGGTGCAGGAGGCACCTGCTGGTGGAGGTGATGGTGTGGAGACTAGTGGTAGCACTAGTGGAGCTGCTGGATCCGAGGGAGGAGAGCAGCAGCAGGGAAAAACTAAAAAGCCGAAGGGTGTTATTATGAAGGGATGGGAGACACCCGTCTCCAGGCCAGGACGTACCCGTATGGCTACTAAGAAGCTGACTGCAGGAGCTAATATAGCGGAGCAGCAGCTTGGGACTGAGGAGGCATTGCTGATTCTACCGCATGGGTATGACCCGGATGAGGAGGATGAGCCTGCGTACTGTTTTCTTGCCCCTGCACCAGAGGAACCAGCTAGCATGGAGGAGGCATTAGCTGGACCAGATAGGGACAAATGTCTAGCTTCTAGGGATGCTGAGCACCATAGCCTGCTGGAGAATGGGACTTGGGAACTAGTGGTGCTGCCTGAGGGAAAGAAAGCGGTACAGTGCAAGTGGGTGCTAAGGATCGAGACTGACAACAAGGGGCAGGTCACCATCTACAAGAGTAGGTTGGTGGCTAAGGGGTTTATGCAGAAGGAGAAGCAGGACTTCAATGAGATCTTTGCTCCCACTGCCAAACCCCCTACCCTTCGTGTCTTGTTGGCAGATGCAGCCGTTGGTGGGAAGTTCATTATCCAGATGGACATATCAACGGCATTCCTCAACGGGATTTTAGAGGAGGAGGTGTTCATGACGCAGCCACCTGGGTATGAGGATGGTACGGACAGGTTATGCAAGCTGAAAAAGTCCATCTACGGCTTGAAGCAGGCGCCACGCTGCTGGTACCAGAAGTTGGCAGCTGTTTTAGAGATGGGATTCAGGACCAGCAGCTGTGATGAGAGCCTCTTTCTCAAGGGGGACGGGGAGAAGCTGGTGCTGTTTCTGGTCTATGTGGACGACATTCTTCTCTTTAGCAGCAGCATGAAGGAGATCCTGAAGGTGCAGCAGCAGCTGATGGAGAACTTCAAGTGCAAGAACCTTGGGGAGGTAAAGTACTACCTCGGGATGCACGTGGAGAGGGATCTGGATCACAGGTGGTTGAAGCTGCACCAGGAGAAGTTCATCAAGGAGCTTGGGGAGAAGTACGGAATTGAGAATGAGCGCAAGGTTGCAACTCCCCTGCTAGCAGAATTCAAGCTTGTGAAAGCTGCAGAGGATGAAGGGGTTGAGCCGAGGAGCAGCAGCAATTTCAGTCCTTGGTGGGCAGCCTCTTGTATGCAGCAGTTCACACGAGGCGCGACATCTCTTTCTCGGTTGGGCAGCTGGCTAGGGTGGTGCAGAATCCATCAGAGGAGCAGGTGGATGCAGCTGAGCGTGTGGTGAAGTATCTGAACTCTCACCCAAGCATTGGAGTTCAATACTCCGCATCCGCACAGGTGAAGCAGAAAGGGGTTGAGGTGCTGAAAGAGAAGGGGGAGAGGCTTGGAGAAGGCAAGCTTTTTCTCACTTGCTTTACCGATGCTACGTGGGCCTCTGAGAAGGAGGATTCCTCATCTGTGGGAGGATACATTTGCGTAGTTGGGGGAGGACCGGTTAGTTGGAGGTCAAAGAAGCAGACGGAGACAGCACTCTCTTCCGTGGAGTCAGAGTACATGGCAATGTTTCATGGGATGAAGGAGGTGATTTGGCTGAGGAGGCTGTTGGAGGAGATTGGCCAGGAGCAAAAGGTTGCTACGCCGCTGTTCTGTGATAGCAAGGGAGCTCTTGGGATGGCCAGGAACGCTATGCTTCATTGGCTCAATAAGCACATGCGTATCAAGTGGCACTGGCTGCGTAAGGAGGTGAAGAGGGGGACGGTGAATCCGATCTACATCAAGACTCACCAGCAGCCAGCAGACTTCCTCACCAAGAGGCTTGCAGATGAGCCTCATTGGCGTTGTGTGCGCATGAGTGGAATGAGCATGAACTAGTATGGAATGATGGGGATGCAGCCGGCAGGCTGAGGGGGAGTGTGTTGGGTGCAAATACACATTGCACGACATCCTGCCGTCTGTTTGTACGAGTATGCGTGTGCGAATGCATTTGCGTGTGAATGGTATGTTCGTGTGTTTGTTTGCTTTCGCAATTTTCGCTTGAAGCATTTGCAGGTACTCGCACAATGTGCGCTTCGGCATAACATTGTACGCGCTATGAACAGTACAAGCAGAAAGGACGAGCTCGCAAAGGAACCCAAGATGGAAGCTTTGTGGTTCGGCTTACGTGATTGCGCAGATTCAGTTCTATCCAACTCGAAATTGTACTGTTTTGTTTGGTTGACTATAGTGTAGCAGGGCAGGCACTATAGGGGTACAATTTAGGTGATGGTTGGATGTTGTTTGTCTGTATCTGCATGCTATAGGGCCAGGGGAAACCAGCAGAACCAGCATTTGGCTGGTTGGGCAAAGACAAAACAGGTTCTGTTTTTAGGACCTGAACCTGGTTGTTGTTTTCCCAGGTTGGAAAAACAGAACCAGAGGTTGTTCACCAACCTACCACCTGCTATTTTGTCCAGCCAGGTTGGTTCTGTTGCTTGGAATTATTTGGGATCATCCCTGGTTGTTCCCAGGTTGATTCCCAAGGTCCTTGCTAGCTAGAGCTATTTATTCCTTCTCTGTTTGTACCTGAATATAGTGAAATTGATTCAAGCGAATTCCTTCCTTGCTGGAATTTCTTTTCTACGCGGTGCGACGGCGGGATGCTACCCGAGTCAACGCTAGTACGCTAGCACTCCAACGCTAGGCTAACGCTGTCCGAGCCATAACTTCGTAATGGCAAAACTTTTCGCGAGGCAACTTGGCTTAATTTAAAGCTCTTAGAGTGAGCTTCGATATAGTAAATTCTCAGCTTAATCCGATCTACGGTATGCACAATACGTTGCGCGACGTTCAAGGTACTCTTGCTGTTTTGACTAAGTCCCTCTTGATCCCTCTCTCTACAAACTCGGACACGAGGATAGGGGCTGGTCTTGTACCAGGCACCCAAGGACCCTTGGAGGTGACCCCGAGGAGAGGTTTGAAGTGTGATAAAGTCTTAATAGCTTGAGTTTATTAGGCCCTTACACCAACACAACTTCCTGGCTCGAGAGCTGCAGCAGCGCGGTCAGCTTCGTCTGCGTTACGTGGCCACTCAAGCCAACACTGTTGATATATTGACCAATGCACTCTAGTCTGGTGATCATCAGCGTTTCTGCTTGGGCTTGTGCCCACGTTTCCTCACTTGCTGTAGGCTTTGCCTGTACTGTGATCTCTATATATACATACCTGCCTGTTTGCTTTGCTAGGTTGAGATCACCTTGTTGTTTGTACTGCATATATGCCTCTGCATGTGAACTGGCCCTGAGGCCCTTTGCTTGTGCTCAGAGTGTGTGGTGACGTTGTGATCCACCCTGAGCTTGTTTACCTTTCTTGACTGGTCTTGTGACCCCTTGCTCTCCCCCACTTTGCCTATGGGGGTGTGTAAAACACTATATATGTGTTATTGC